TTGGGGTCCTGCTTTTGTCCTAAGCCTATTTATAATTAGGTCTAGACTACAACGGTGGTTATTAATTTTAATGGAACTTTACTGATTTACATAAATTGAGAATCTGGCCCTTTTAATATCCATAGTTAATGCAAAGGCAGCTGTATCTCTACAAAATCCTCACAGACTGACGTATTTCACTGCTTGATACTTGCAGGCTTGGTTTCAGTAGTCAGTTAACCTGTACCCAGATACTTTTCACAGAGCATAAAACACACTTGAATATCTCCAGCTTTTACATAGAGAGCAAGCTTGGAAAACTCATACGTATTCTTATTTCCCCAGAGACTCTGGAACCAAATTTGTAAAGCCAATGTTACAGTTCCAAAATTTTCTAGTCTTATATCTTCCTCCCACGTTCTTTATTAGACTGTAATTTTGAATGCTGTTGTTTGCTATGGGATCTCTCAGCTGAAGTCCCAAGGCAAAGAAAAATCTCAAAGCTAGAGTCAGAAAAATCTCAAAGCTAGAGTCAGAAAAAGTTTCATCATGCAGGGGAGAATTTTAATGTGCAGTTCCATATTTTTTTTTAACTAGATTTTTTTAAGAATAAGGAGAACAACTGATTAGATGTAATTTTAAAAAAATACTCTTCTAGTCTTCCTACCAGCAACATCTTTGATTAGTTTGCCATCATTTATTTTGCCAGTAATTTCATTTCCAGTTCAAATCAAAGCCAGTTCCTGCGGTCTCTTCTGGCCCATTGTTAGTCTCAGGTTATTTCATTTTGTTTAATTTTGATAAATTTCAAATCTGAGAAACTCCTCTCAGAAATGATACATCCGGGCACTGTAGGTACAGACCCTCATGTAATATGCTTACTCAGAAAGAATTCACCAAGCCTCTTGAGAAGCATACCCAAATAGAAAGTCAGGACTATTAGAATAATGCCAGCAACATTTTTTCCAGCTCATGGCAAATCCAATACTATTTATATCCGAGAACTTTACATAAGATACTAGAAGCTCAAGAGCCTTCTGTTTCTGATGGACATTGCTGATCCTTGGCACTTAACAGTCTGTCTGGGAGACTGGGAATGTTGGCATGGTCCCTGCAAAGTTCTTTCCTCTGTTCAAATGCTGGCATTGTTTCTGACAACATTTAACTCATTGGTCTCTAGACACTTGTGCAATATAAATAATTATTAAATAACAGTGTGAGTACAGCATATAGAATCAAGGTTGTGTGATGAAGCATCATCTATCTGACAGAATATTACCATAATATTACTGATCTTGGTATTCTGCAGTGTCTCACAGAAGGGTTTGATGGCTGACCAAGCTCATGGAGGCTCAGGGTGAAAATTCTCCTACAAAAGATCCATCACCATGAACAAAGTTCAGTCTCTGGCATTCACAAACTGAGTGGAGATTTCAAACTGAGGCAGCTCAGGGTTTCAGTGAGATTTTGACTACTTCTCTCTTCAATATATGTATATATGCACAAAATGTTTCTTATTTCAGAACACTGTCTCAACAGTGTCAACAAGATTCACTGTAAATGACATTTGCTCCTTGGGGCTAAAGTCAAGCATACAGTCTAATGAGTAGTACGTGGATATACCAGTCAAAAGTTCAGTAGTTTGGCTTTAGCTTCGAGACATGAGTTTTATTAGTCCATACTGAAGCTTGATTCTGAGATACAGGGATAATGACAAAGCTCATGGCAGTCAATATGTTCTTCTCATGTTCTTACATAACTGGACTCATTTTGAAAGCATCTCAGCTGTGCCAAGAAAGCTACTATTTCCCAGATCAAATAAATCACCTACTGGTCCCTAACAACTATATCCCAGTAGCCTTGCTGCCAGACTATGTTCTCAGAGCTGGTAATTGATTGGTTTTCTATGTCAGCATGGTAATGATACAGCAGGCAATTCCAATTCAGGCAATTTATGAGTGATTTTGCCGTAGCTTATAGAGCATTTATATTGCCTAAGAACTGGCATGACGCATCTTACAAGTGTTCAGTCCCCAAAAAGGAAAGGTTTATAATAATAAAATATTCAACAAAAGCAGAACAAGTTACTGGTTTTGAGATAGATGACTATCTTTCCCCAGTTAATTGGTTCTTCTTAGACTAGGTTTCCTGACTGTCGCTTGATATACACTGGGTGATTTAACCAAACTATGGAAGACCATAAGTTATTATTCAGATAAGTGATGTTCTCTATCAAAATAAAAACAATGCATCAGGGACATTATCGGGTGCCTCAGGTCACCAAGCAGCAAAATCATCGTGGTTACTAACCGGATTAGAAACATTAGGGTCACATCACATTTCAGTCTTACAAGTTCAGTAGGAAAAAAAACCCAACAAACTTTGCAACATTCACAGGTCATCTCTGTACCATACCACCAGTGGAGGACCATGCAGAGGGGAGTAATAGAAGAGTTTCTACATATATGAACCAGTATTGTAGGACATTGGCAGTGCTCTCATCTCCCCTGCTTTTGTCGAGGACATGCTTTAGGGCATTTCTGGTATACCTGGCTTTGCCCCATGTAGTTATGTGTGTAAGGGTTGGAAGTAGCAATTTTGGGGAATTTTGAGTAAATGGTTATCTGGAAATACTGAGGTCTGGACTCAATGGCAGAAAAGTCCCCTTTCAGTCCTATGTTCTTAGTTCATTGTACCAAAAGATCACCTTTATATTGGGGGGTATGTCCCTTAGCCTTGCTTTGCTGAATGTAAATCTCATCACAACAGAACATCCAGCTGAGCTGGGCACATTTTTTCAGTCAACAGATTTCATGGATTTTGTGTCAGTTTCGTCAAAGTATGTAGGGAAAACAAGTAAAACTGGAAAAAGCTGAAGAGTTTCGTTGTCCAATTTTTTTAATGAAATGTTTTGATTTTTTTTTTCTAAAATGACTTTTCATGTAGGGGTGTCCTTCAATTTAATTTTAAAAATCAAACTTATGTTCAACCATCAGCAAAATGATTTCTTGTAATTAAGTCAATTCATTCAGCCCCCAAATGATTTTTTCCCAGAATTTCTGTTCACAAAATATTTTTTGAGCTGTCAGTGAACTAAAAATTCAGTTACACTTATGCATGACCAAGTAGCCCCACAATTTACATTGAGCCTGACTAGCTATAAAATATATAGAAACAGATTTTTTTGACAAACTGTGCAGTACAATGCAGCCCATCAAGTTATCCAGGTTCTGTAAAACTGCTCACTAAATGGCCTCTTATAAAACATAGATTTGCAGCTTAAACCTTATTAAAGCCCATTCACAAGGTACACTTTCCACTGGAGGGCTGCCAGCGGGTTCCACTCTGATTGAATAAATGTCCTCAGCATATTTGCAAACAGGAAACTGAAATACACATCCAGATGTGCAGATAAATAAATCATTGCACAGTGAGGATGCAGGACTCGTTGTTGTGCTTTGTACATCCTTTTCCATTTAATAAAGTGGTTTAATAACAGATCTTGGTGGATCACTAGGATTGCCTTGGTGAGCAACAAACACTCTGGTGGTGAACCCCAGGTGTAAGGTAACATTTCTGAGGCAACAAACACCATGTTAGTTACTTAGAGATTGTCACTTAACTGTAAATACTAGTGAAAGAAAGGTGCAGTTAGCAGAAACAAGTGATCTACAGTTGTTCGCTTGTCTCTCCATAAACAGACCATGGGAAGACTCTGGGCATAAATTTGACCTCACAGGTGAAAATAAGGAGAGTTGCAATACAGTGAAATTAGTAAAAACTCTAAATCATGTCAAATGGCTATCCACTTGACTTTTAACCTTTAAAGAAAAAAAGATTAAAGCAAGTGTATGGAGGGTTTGAATTACACTCCAACTCTTAGGGAGGTCTGCAACAGTGGCAGCCAAAAGCTGGAAGGCGCTGCCACCATCACTGCTGCCTGAGCTACTTAGAAAGGCACAGGGTGGGTTGGGGGCTTTTGTCTCCTGGGGGGGGCGGGGCTCAGCCTCTCCGAGCCCTCCACCGTATTTCAACCCTGCGTATATGGTTGATCTTGTAAGACGGAAGTTATAGTTGGTAGTTGTTCTTATTTATTATTGTATTGCTCTAACACCTATAGTCCATTGCACCTTTGGGTTGGGAACTCTAAAAGCATGTAATAAAGAAATTATGCTTGTCCAAAATAACTTGCAAGCTACGTTTTAAGACAAGAGGACCACAACTAGAAAACAAACAGACCAGGGATGCACCAGGGAACAGTGTGAAAGTTATAAGACCCTTTTAATGAGCAGCAGTGATTGCAGCAGCCTGAACCTGGTAGTTTTATGTAGTAGACAAACAAGCAGAGGAATGAAGCTGAGGCCAGCAAAGGACTTCGCTTGTGCCCTTAAAGCTAGATTAAAACATTTCATCCAAGGCAAGGAAGCTATTGTACTCTCTCATTTTGCCATTTTTCTGCAACATGAAACAACACAGATTTCCTGGTCAACAGGAAAATCAAATCAAGGGAGAATTCTGAATGCTTTAAAAATAAAAATAAAAGGCGGTAGGAGCATTTGCAGGCTTAACCTCCACTTACAGGAGCTGTATTATTTCCAGAGCCATCATAGCCAATTTCAGTAAGAAGAGCACAGCAGGAAAATTTAGGGATGGAAAATCACGTGGATGAAGGGGAGCAAATGATTGCTTCCAGTGAGGGATACAGACCTGGGGATGAAAGGCTGAACATGTGAATGTTTCTGTCACTTGACATTGAACATCCCTTTACAAATAGCTTATAAAGGCTTAAATTATCAAGAGATGCTCGAAGTATGTCATAGTTATGAGTCGTTTGTATTAAAAGTGGTTATCAGCACATCCCTAGACAGTGGTAGATATGGTTCTAAGCAATTTATTGACTTGCTGAACTCCATAACACTGGATTTATTAAAACATCTAAGAATCATTTCATGGCCCTTTAAAAATTCCTTGTAAATTCATCCTTAATCTAAAGCCTGATACATCTTTGCCTGTTCGGACAGATGAGAAGAAAGGGAAGCGGAGAATCCGGACAACATTCACAGTGGAGCAACTGCGGGAACTGGAAAAGATCTTCCAAGTCACACACTACCCAGACATCCACATGAGGAACCAACTGGCAGCAAAGATCAACCTTCCAGAAATCAGGGTTCAGGTACATGCTGTGTTCCTAATATGGCAGACATATCACTCCAACTCAAGCATACATGCTTTCTTTTCAGAGCGTGTTTGCAAATAGTTTATCATAACACTCACTGGTGGTTTTAAAGAACTTTCCTTCTTCAGATTTCAAAATATTTTACAGAGGAGGTCAGTAGGTGTATCCCAATTTTACAGATAGGGAGAAAGTACTTTTCACCCCAGATGAGACCAAGAAAATGGAAATAACGAAAGGGTTGCTGAATAATTAACAGATGCTCTAAGCATACATGAAAATCTGGTTAATTAGTCACTGGGATAACTCACCAATATTAGTTTGTACTGAAAACATCTGGCTAATTCATCGTCTGTTAAAGTATAATTACTCATTTCCAAATACATACTCATACTAAATCACAATGAAATTTGCTTCTGGTAATTAGTCATGTTAAAAGTCCATACCACTGTCAAGCCAGCTGAAGTTTGCAAGCATTGAACAGACTTCAGCTTTTCTTGGTTCAGCAAAATATGGACAATCAACTATTCCATTCTGCAGAATCATCTTCTGTTTCACTGATGAGGGCACGTAAGAGAGCGAAGCAAAAATCTTCAGTTGATAATTTTGCTCCATTACAGTAATGTTATTCTTACATGGTGAGTAATCTGAACCTCTTTGCAGTGAATAAGTTGTACATTAAGTATTTAACTGTATAATCATACAATTTTCATATGGTAAGCCAGAGTGGGTACAGTTTGCACTAAGAATTTTTGTAGCATGCTTTTTCATTACAAATGGAAAAAATCCTTCTTTACTGTGTCTCAGTATGAAATGGAAAATTCAACTCACAAAAAGTCAATACTAATAATTAGCCATTAATTGATAATTAGTCATCATTGCCAATCCCCTCGACATGATGAATTAACCAAATTTCCTGATTTGGCTTTGTTAGGCATTAATTTGAGGCAGCTCAGGGAGCTCTTAACCCTTTGGATTGTCCACATATTAAGACATGTAAATGTATTTTAAGCACCCTTTAGGCATCTCAAAATTATACCACTCGGGGGCAGGTTTATTTCTAACTTGTGTTACCCAGTTGATATTCCAAGAATATGTGGCCACTCCCCAGAGATAAGATGACCAAACTGCAGTCCTCCAGCATCCCAGGATGCAGTTGCTCCTCCCCTGCCCTCCTGTTCTGCATGGGCAATAGGGCTACGCAAAGCTTCAGGTGGTGATTTGATTCAGATGAG